CCCGCCCAGTGGAAATTAGAAATGACGGCGCCTATACATACATACATATTGCTGTTATTGGTCATAAATAGAATGGTTTAAATTGGCGGAAGTTTTCCAGTTTTGGCTTACGGTCAAAAAAAAGGAAGCGCTGACTGTTGCACAAAAAGGCAGTAAACGGATGTGATGATGGTTGTTTTTCGTTAGTCTGTGCGGGAGTAATGTTGGACGTTAGTTGATTTGCCTTTTCGTTTTTCAGTTTTTTTGCCAGCTGAGCAGTTTTGTCGATGGGAAGCGGCGTCCCGGTCATATTTTCCAGATTTTTATTTTGAAAAATTTTGCCACTCGTCTTTTTGAGGGATTTAATGGTTTTTTTTTTTTTTGGAAAATGATCAAAAAGAATAATCTTTTATTTTTTTGTTTTAGTTTACTTTACTTTCTTGAAGGTTTTACCAGGAGTTTTGTTGTATGGCACAATAATTTCTCCAGGTGTTTGTTTCTGAAATTAATATGGTTTCTTGAAAACACTCACTAGTGTTACTGTCATTGTTTTGCGGATTGATTTCTGCTAAATTTTTATTTGTAATATTTAAAAGCAACATTAAATGAAGCTGTTTAAGATGTAGGAAAAACGATAGTATTTTAGATTGCAACAACAAGTCAAAAAAAAAAAAAAAGCAAGAGAAGTTTATGGGAAATGTGTGTTTTGTTGATAAATATGCGGATAGAAATTCAGGAATAGTTTTTTTTTTTTTTGATTTTTATATTTTTGGGATATGCATAATTTTGATGGTTTTCTGTCACCAAAGGGATAATCTTTTTTTTTTTACGATTTTGGTTAGTTTCAATAATGTTCGGTTCAGTTGTAGCGTATTGTAGTTGAAAATAGGCGGCCTTATTTTAGTCATACTGATTCATTGTATTTTTAAGTGCTTATTTTTTGCAGTAGGGATTTGGATAGGAAAAGTAATATTTCCATTAATACCATCAGAAATGTGTTTAGTGCAAAACGAAACAGGGCTGTTTTCAATCAGTGATTGTCAAATTAATGTCTATTTTCTTGGAGAATTACAATTTCTTTCTGTTCATTTATTTGTGCGTTTGTTTTTCTGCCGACCTTATATTTTTTTTATCTTTCGTCCTCTTCTGTAGCTGTTCCGGTCTTTTTTTACACAATTGGATCGTTTAGCTGTTTATGATAGCAGGAAAAAACAAAAAAATTTTTAGTTCTAATGAAATCGCTTATTTTGAAGTTTTAAATTTAAAAATTCTATTGAACAGATTTATATTTTGTTTTTTTTTTAGTTTAACTTTTTGTTTAGAAGGTTTTTTTTAATAATGTTTTTCTTGCGCTAAAAGAAAACTGTTGCTGTTATTCTGTTTATTTATTTATTTGCTTTTTTTTTTGCAAGATTCTGTTGATAGATTAGCTGAAGAATTTAACACGAAGTACGGTACGTTTCCAAAACAAATATTTTACTTTTGTCAAAGGTTTTTTTTTCGAGAAATGTCTATGTTTCTCGAATGGTTTATTTAATAACTAGTAAAAATAGCTTTGATTGAAGCTAACGAATAAAAAGTTCATCAAATGTTTTTCTTTTTTTTTTTTTTTGGGGGGGGGG